CCGTTGTCGGCCATCTGTTCCCCGCTGACCTCTTTAGGGAGGGCTGGAACAGAGAGAAAAGTACTGTCACTTCAGCCCTCACAGGGTCATCTGTCACTGCTCCCCCTTCCCCAGCAAGAAGCAAAACTAGTATTTCCTCCTGCATATTAATGAAGCACTTCAAGGTTGGTTTGTTGTTGCTTTTTGCAGGCACAGTGCTCGTATTTTTCTGGGTTTTCTCAGTTTGTTCCCCATGTGTTTGTGCTGGGTTTTTTTCATATTTCCTTCTTATTTATTTGACCTAGTTTTGCATGCCGCTTTCTTTTTTGAGGTGATTGGAGAGCTTGTAATTAGGGACCAGCTTGACTCTTTTTGATTAATGACTGAGCCTGGATATCAAGGGAACAAAGCTGGCACTTTAACAGTCACACCAGCTCCTTCTCTTCACCCATATTTACTCTGCAAAGGTCACAGAGCTGGACCATGTAAAGATGAAGCAGGAAACAAAATTAGCAATAGGCAAATACAGATTTTTAGTTTATCTGTTCCAGCACTTGTGAAAACAAGGATTGCAGATGCTCTGGTACCTCTTGCTTTGTGTAGGATTCCTGCTGTCCATGTGTCTGTCTGCATTGTTGTTTAGGTTCCTGGTGACTTCCAGCAAACAGCACCTGCCTCTTCAAATGGGACAGTATTTCAGGTGTCCTGAAGGAATCAAAGCCTGCCTTTCCAGAGTTTGATGTTCTTGCTTTGATGTTAATTTTTAATCCCATTTCATCACCACCCTTCAAGCTCTTTTCTGCCTTCAAGATTTCAGCCACTTCTTTCTTACAGACAGATCTTGAAGAATTTCCTAAGTAGTCATTTTCTTCCTTTCTGTTTGAAACTGTGTGATACCAGATTTGGAGAACTGAGAGCTCGTGCCTGTGCTGTCCAAACCCTCTGTTATCACCTGTAACAGTGCATGAATCTATTAATTCCTTCCATAAAGGAATCTATTAATTCCTTCTCCACAGCCTGCATTTGGATGAATATTTGCCAGTTCCTCACAGTTCTAGTTATAAGATTTTCTTTTTTTCCCCTCTCATCATCACTGTTAGGAAAAATGCCTGTGCAGGAAAGCACAATGGCCTCTTGTATGGTGAGGGAAGTGAAAACCAGAGCAGTGCTTGAGCAGCTGTGTGCAAGTTGTAGGAATTCTGTAGGAATTCCACCAGTGTCAGGGGGGTTTATTCCAGCAGAAAGTAGGATTTAAGGTACAAGAGGTATCTTGGAATTAAAGTGTGGTGGCTAAACCAAACAAAGGCATCTGTAGGCAAAGATTAGGAATGCTGTGCTGAAAAGGCAGTTTTCCTGTGTTATTAAATAAACCTTCAGTATCTTGCTTATACAACAAAATTAATGAGGTTGTTGAGGTTAGGAGCAGCGTGACATAGAATGAGAAGAGAGACAGGTCTGTGTTTAGCCCTCAATTACTGCAGGAACTTCTGAACTCTAAAACACTAAAACTCTAAAATTATGGGCAATAATACAAATAGTGTCTACCTGGAGGTTGTTGAAGAACACTGTTCCAAAAAGGAATATTGCAAAATGCATCCAGAATGTCCCCTCAGTGCTGATCCACAATACCAGCTGTGCCTTAAGCTGTGGAAACAATCCAGCTAGAAAACTCAAGTTCTTGCTTAGCTTAATAAATAAATCAGCCTAGATTTGTTAATTTTTGAAAGGGATTAATAAACCTTTCAGCAGCAGGCAGTGGCAGGCCAGAGCCACAGTGCTGGAGTTGTTGTGGCCGTGACCTGAGCTCCTCTTGCTTTCCTGCTCTGAGAGCTCTCAAGCACATGCACTTTAAAGATAACCTTGGGTTAGGCTTGGATTTCATAAGCGATTTGCAATCTGTGAAAACACCACTTCATTCTGTAGTAAAACTCCTTGCTCATAAAAATCCCTCCCCATTCAGATCCATATGTAAGAACAAGGCAAACTCCTACAGGGATATTCTGAGACACTCCTGCTTTAGAACATGAGCTTTGTATTCATAAATGTTTTAGCCTATTTCCTGCAATAAAGATTAAATTGTCGCTCAGGAAGTAAAGCTGCAACATGTGCCTTTGACAACGTAATCAAACTTTATATAGCCATGTTTTTATTGTTTTCCTTTTGTTTTGCTCTTAGATGACTAATTTCTGCCTAAAAGTGACAGCAAGAGTTGCTGAGAGGCCGCTTGGAGCTTTATTTCTATTTTAAGCATATTTAAAGCACATGTATTCAGAAGTGTCATTATGTAAATCAGTTTTGAAAATTGAGCTCCATTAAAAATTGCAGTATCATTTTCTGAGCTAATCCGTGGCTATTTTAATCTCAGAAATGAAAAAAATAACCCCACAACCAAACCTCAGGTTTTTGTGAGGAGCGGCACTTCTACCTCTGATGTTGTAATTGCTGTGCTAATATGGTGATAAAATATGATGTATTCTTAGTGGAGCAAAATGTTTGCTCTTCCTGGATTTGAAAAATCCACTGAGCTGAAATTTGGAATATTTGGAAATTCCACTGCATTGCCTGGAAACAAAAATTGATAGTGGAGTCCAGTGTAAGGAACGATTTTGGCAGTGGTGAAAGTTGATCCCCAGGGTTGGACACTTTAAAGGCTTGGACCAAGGAAGGTTGTCCCAGATGATCCTTAAAATCCCTTTCAATCTGGTATTTTAGGAAAAGAACTTGATATTGAAAAAGAGGCCTAACAAGGAAGTTTGTAGTAGGTACTTTTATAGGTTAAAGAAAACTCTGCATGTTAGGCAAAGTGGTAGTGGTGGTGGTTTGTTTTTGTGTGTGGTTTTTTGTTTTTGTTTTTAAATACTGCCCTGAGTATTGAAGGGGATTTAAATGTAACTGTGGTGTTCTGGAATTGCTGTAATGGCATGGGGTTTCTTAAGTACCAGCAAGAGGAAACCAAAAAGTTTCTCATTTTACATGGACTTGTTTCATTCACCTGCTTTCAAAAACCAGAAAAAGCTGAACTTCTCTGGCAAGAGTCTGAGAGCTTGGGGGAGTTCACTGGAACAGGGCCTTTGTGGAGTCTGCTGTGACTTGGGCAGGGAGTGCTGCAAATGAAGGGACTGGATGTTGTTTCTTTGTAGTTTCCGAGGTCCTGGGGACTTCTGTTCTCCACTGAGCTAACAGGGATAAAGGCAAATCCAGCACAGTTTCAACTCCGTTTCTTTTGGCAACCTAAGTCATCACTTTTTGCAAAGTCCTAGAAGAAGCCATTTAAAAGTACATTTTCATGCACCTCTGTCTTAACTGTGATTTAACATTTTTTTAGTGTCATGCAAATCCCCACCTGCAGCTCCTAAGGGCAGATGTTTCCCAAATCTCAGTTTACAGTGCAGGATTTAAAAGGTGGCCCTTTGGAACTGGCATAAGGTGGTGAATTTTTGGCCATGACAGAAGGTGAATCAGTGGTTTAAAACCAGATATTTAATGCCATTTCAGCTGTCTGGACCTCCAGGGGTGCTCCAAGAGCTCCCAGATGTGCCCAAGCTCTGGCTGCTGTTCCAGACCCTGGGTCTTGCCATATCTCTCACTCTGTAAATAGTCTGAGTGCTGTAAAGTGCCTTAAAAAGGCACTAACACCTAAGTTTAGAGCTGTGGGTTGCTCTCTGGAGTGTTTATAGTTTGGGGTGACACAAGGAAAGGGAATCTGCTTTTAATTTAGTCTGGAGCTCCATACAGGATCTGTGTAAGCATTAAAGCATCTGCAGTGGCCAGGATCAGTATTTTCAGACGAGGGAAAAAGCCAAATCCCAGGATTCCCTTCAGTGCCAAAATATCAGAAGGCTACAATGTTCCTTTTTTTATAACAAAGGGAAACTATGTAGGAAAATGCAAACTTGTTAAGAGGCAAAATGTTTCATGGGGAATGTCTGAAGACACAATGTGCAAAATCTGAAGAGTGGTTGTTTTCTCCTTTAGGTAAAGAGCAGTCTGACGGATTGTGACCAAAAATAAAGAGTTTCGTAACTAAAAAAGTATTTTTTTTAAACAACAACAAAGATCCAAACAAAGAAAAGGGAGGAGGGCTACAGGCTTTGGCAAGTTAAATGTAAAGCAATAGAAAATTAGGCTAAAAGTGGTCTTGAGGAGTAATTGGAAGGCTTTGAATCTAATAATAGTGATGGTAATGGCTTCAGCCCATCAGAAACAGCCTTCTCAGAAGATCTGTAAGGCTGATAAATGAGCAGGACCTGAAGAGCTGTCAAGGAAGATAAAGCAGTTATAGAGAAGGAAATGAATTATTTGCATTGGTATTTATTGAAAAGGATGTTGGGAGGGTCATGGCTATAACCATTTATTTCAGTGATGGACAGAGGAAGCAGGGAAAAGAAGGTTTCAGATGGTTTTCTTCTTGATTTGGAAGGATTCAGGTTAATTTTTAATCAAGATGATACTGGAACAGTCTGGTTTTGCATTAATGCAAATTCTTCAGCTAGAATTTATAGGATGAGCACAAAATATGATTATTGGAATTCATCTGGGCCTTAGTTTACAACTCTTGAAAACAAAATTGATGCGTATGGAAAATGAATGCAGCACGTGTTTGATCAAAAAGAGAAAAATAGTTGCAAAGTAATGTACTTGCTCATGATCTTCAAGGTATATTGTGAATCACAGCTGCTGAAAGCCAGCAGAACTTGCATTAATTACTTGAGTTTGTTCCTTTTTTTTCCAGTTTCAAACTTTCTTTCCCTAGAATATGCTAATGTTAAACAGTGCTTATGAGTGATTGTGGAAAAAGGTTCCAAATAAAATCTATCCTTTCTGAATTCTCACTGCCTGCTATTTTATTTGTTGTGAGTTTCAATTTTGGAGCAGCTCTTTTTTAGTACTTTTATTGCAGATTAGAAGCAGCCTTTTTTAGACACGAGATGTAGAAAGTTAGCAATGCAAATATGGATTATTCACCTTCCTAGAGAAACTTCATCTTACTGAAAAGCTCTTCCTAACCTTGTTTTTATCAGGGAGAAAGAACAAGAAACACAAGAAGAGGAACATTTGATGGAAGAAAAGAAAAAGAAAAAGCAGGAAGAAAAGAAAAAGAAGGAAGGTGCTCAGAAAAAGGTTTGTTCATGTTCCTGTTGTGATTGATCCCTTCACTTTTAAATGTGCCTGTGGCTGCTGGTGCTGCAGCTTCACTTTTGGGAGTGAGCCTGGCACTGGATCATTGTCACTGGCTTGGTCACAGAATGCTGCCCACACAGCCGTGCCAGGGCTGTGGCAGTGCCAGGGCTCACAGTGCCACACCTGGCCACTCCTCAGCCAGAGTGCCTGGGTCAGCCCCAGCAGGTGCTGGAGGCACTCTGGGATCCCAGGCTCATTTTCACTGCTGGGCATTTTCCTCCCTCATTTCTGGATTGCACAGTTGGATTTAATTTGAAATAGAATTGATCGCTGTCTTTTCTGGTATAAAAATTGGGCATCATAAAAAATTCCAAACAGATTAAAAAATAAACAGGTCTTCTGTGAAAGCTGATAGTGTGGGTGGATTCAAAGGGATGCTGGGCAAAGTCACAGAAGTTAATTCTGCTGGGTGCTCAGGGGTTCACACACAGAGTGGGGGTCCAGAAAGCCCCTGCCCCTCAGGAGGGGGAAGGCTGGGGGGGTGGAGGGGGCTGCTGCCCTCTCTTGTCATTCTTTACACTTCCTCTTTGGCATCTGCTTCTTCTTCAGGCAGACATTTCTATCACATGGACTTAAGTAAGATTCTCTGGTCCTTAAATGAAACAAATGCCTGATTTATGTAAGCAGTTTCTGCAAAAAGTTAGGCCTGCAGCCCTGTAATTGTTAGGTATCATTTGCAGTATTGACAAGTAGTTGATTTGTTTTGTTCTTCTCTTCTTTCAGGCTGCTGAACAAAAAACCAAAGGTAAATTGCTGTTTATTCTCTGTGAAATGTTTGATATTTTTATAAGCTTGTTTAAAAAATGTGTTTGTACTTTTCATTCATTGTGTCTGTTTAATGAGGGGAGTATATCTTCCTAGGATTGTTATGTTCCTGAAGTTTAGTTGGGATTCTCAGCATAAGCTTTGGCTTATCTTGCTGGGTATTCTATGGCAGCCTTTTGACAAGAATATATGGATTAATTTTCTGTGAACCATAACACAGCATGTGTCATCTCTTTTGTCAAGACAGATGCAGTTTTCCATTTAGTTGTTAGTAGTTATTTATCTGTTTCAAAGACAAGTAATTGCCCCTTTCCCCTTGCACAATTCAACTCAATTTAATGTGTAAACTCAATTCATGGAGCTTAGAAGAAACTATTTCCCCTGCTGCCACCAGTGCCTGTTTTTCTTTCTGTGTGGGTTTTCTGCCTGGGAAGAGAGTGGAGCTGCTTTGCAGCAGGGTCAGGAAGCAGCAGAGGTAAGGAATGCCTTCCCCTTTGGGGGCAGTGGGCTGCCAGGTTCCCTGGGAGAAAAGTTAATGAAGCTGTGGCTTGCAGAAAAAAGGTGAGGAAGAGAGGTAAGGGAATGTCTGTCCACTGCAGCTGATGGCTTACAGATCTTTCTGTGCCTCAGTTGTGAGCCAGCTCGAATGCATTGGCATTTCTTGGTGGGGAATTAGGTGACAGACAGGCAAGTGGAGCTTCCCAGAGTCCCAAAGAATGAGAATTAGAAAAGAGCCAAGCCTAACATAAGGGCTGGACTAAACAACTTACATTTCAAACACTTCTTATGATTTATACGTACAGCAGAAATTAAATATTACTTCAGCCATATGAATTCAGAAAAATAAAGTAATAACTGCATGCTGAAGATACTGTAACATTAATTTATTGAAACTCTGTCCTTTTATTTCTAAGTTTTTCCTTTGTAGAAAGGGAGAGGTCAGAAAGTTTTAGTTTGAATTCTGTAGCACCTGCACTGTGAGATCTCATGTCATTTATTATAACACTGAATTTCACTTTCAGGAGAAGGGAGCAGAGGTATGTGGGTCCCACCAAAACTTAGGTACATGAAAAACCTTGGAATTAAGATACATCAGAGCAATTTTTATCTAAATGGAATATTTCTGTTTTCCCAGTATTGCTTGTTCTGTTCTCTGTATCAGCTCATTTCTGTGTGAAAAGGTTTCACTGTTCTATAATGGATTATAATGACTTTTTAATATCACAATTCAGCAGCAGATGTTTTTGCTGTCAGGGTAACTAAATTCATTTTCACGTGGTAATGCAGTGGCTCTTCATTTCTGTTACGAGTGAGACACAGAGCCTTCTGCTTTCCCTCTGTGGGATGTTACTATTTCTGTCTGTGTTGTGACAGCTTTGCTTTTAATTGCTTGAAACTGCCACGTTTAAGTTTCTAGTTAATAACTTCAGTTTTTCAGGTATGCTCGTGAGTTTGTTTCTTTCAAATTTAGGGACTGCATTTCTCCATCTGTTGGATTTTTTTGTTCATTATCCATGTATTTAAGCATCTTCTATTGCTATAAAATATGGATCAGGAAGAAGGCAGCAGTGGATAAGAAGAGTTTTGTTGGAGGTGAAGCAGCTTTGGCATTTATTGTTTCATCTGTCAGAAGCAGTGATGCAGCTTTTGTGGTTCAGCATTTGGAAGGGGAACCTGTCCTACAGAGAGCCCAAAGCTCCTGTTCATGCTCAGGGCAAGGGCCAGGGGTTATTTACAGTCCTGGAAGTGACCTTTCTTTGAATTTCCTTTGTCTGGCAAATACTCACTGCTTTTCAGGTTGCTCTGTGGAAATATTTTATTTCCACTTTATGGTGCAGTTCCTTACATTTATCTTTAGGAGGGATGTTCATGAGTTTATGAGAGATAGCAGGAATTTCTTAATATCGATAAAATATTAATACAGAATTAATGAGAGGAAAAATCTGAACTTTTTCTCTACAATATTCAGAGTTGACTGTAAACTTTATTGCAGTGCTGCACCAAGTGCTTTATTTGGATACCTTTTCAAGGATGAGTGACACATGCTACTAGAACTAAATGGCAGCACAGGGATTATCGTTGAATTTTGTTAATTTATTTCCTATCTGGGACACAGCAATTAAATTAGTTGTGATGACAAGATGGCACAGTAAAACTGAGTGAATGGACTGCAGCAGGTAATGCATGCCAGTGGGCAGGATGTATTAAATCAGAGATTAAAGCTGGACTGGAGCTGGGCATTTGCAAAATGTAGTTTTTAGTAGGTGAGATCTTTATAAATATGACTTAATGGAGCTCTTTGTGGTAACTTAAAAAAATTGCTTAATTTTATGTGTGTGTCACTGAGTTCTGCAACTGGGTTGCCATGGCAGTGAGAGGTGCTTGCACTAGTTGGGTCCTAGAGGAGAAAAAGAAATCAGACAAGTGCAGGTGGGGTCTGGAAGGGTTTTTCAGTTTGTTTTTCAGCTGCCTGGGGCAGGGTGTTTGTGCAGCCCCCTGTTTGCTCTCAGCAGTGTTGTGGAGGAGAAGGCACCTTGCTGGAGTGGGTGGGAAGGGCCAGGTGCTGAGGCTTGAGAGCCAGGGAGGGGGGGTTGTGTTTGGGGTTGGCTTCTTCTGTGCTAGAAACCTGTGACCAAGGTCTGATTCTTTTTGATGAATAGTTAGTTTTTCATGGATTTGTGTGTCACAGAGGTGTGAGTTGCTGTCCTGGGCAGTAATGAGCTCGTGTTTAGGACGTGCAGCTCGGAGCTGATCTGGCTGCTGCAGGTTCAGTGTCTGGTGAGGCCTCAGGAAAGAGAAGGGAAGCAAGAGGAAGGAGGTTTCCTGTGGGGGTGTGTTTGTGGTGTGTTGTCAGTTCAGTCTTGCTCTGAGGCCTCAGCCCCAGCTGAATGTTTCCATTTGTGATGTGGTGCTCAAACCTTTCCAAAATAAACATGAATTTCCACCCTTAGGGGAAAGGTATGTGCCTGCTGCAGGAGCCCAGGGCTAGGAGTGCTCCCTCACACAGCTCTTGCATCCACTGAAACAAGTTATTTTCTCTTTTTTAACAATGATCCAACCCTTTAAATCATCTCTACATAACAGCTCCTTCAGTTTCTATTTTTTCCCCCTGCAACGTTGTTTGCTTGAGTATTTTTGTGAGGATCTTTTATAAATACCCTGTTGGCAACAATTCTAGGGAATGTGAAAAGAAGAAAGATTGGAGAGCTGATAAAGACCTGAAATGTTTCTCAATTACTTGAAAACAAATGAAAGTAGTCTTCCTGTTCAGCTGGAGAGAAGCACTGCAGAATTAGATGAGGTGGGAAATGAGCAGGTTTTTATTGCACATTCAAGTTGTTGTTCTTTTATGGTAATTTTTTTCAGAACAGGACTATTGAGCACAGGCTATTAGTGTTTATTTTACATGTATAAACTCTTGCCAGTTTATGTGCATTTGATCAAGAAACTTTGTGTGTAAGGGCTTTTCTAATGAAAACATTCAGCTGTAATTGTGAGCTCTGTTGATGGTGAAGGGTCACTAGTATGGGAATGGCTGTTATTTAATAACTACAGGGGCTTTAAGGGAGCTGTGCTTGTCATAAATGCTATCAGGGTGGGTTTTGCTGCTGCTTCTCTTCTAGCCATCCTCCTGCAGGTTTAGTCAGCACAGGTGATCAGCTCCTTGCCTGCTCCACTCCCACCTCTGCTGAATGCATTTGTTCAAAGCTGATATAAAATAACTTAAGTGGATTGTTACTCAAACATCCACCCTGGTGATTGAAAGGCAAAGTGTCCATCCAACCCTCCAGCATTATTTGCAATAAAGGTAAGTGCTAAATCTGCAAACAGAGAAATAAAAAGAGTTAAGTCTATATACTGCAGTTAGTCTAACATAAAAAGTATTTTGGTAAATATTTTGATTAGAAATGTTAGCTGGAAAATACTTTTATCCCTTTACTCTAAAGCAGAGCTGGTCAATCTGTGCCTCTTGGACCTCCATGATCCCTGCAGGTCTGTCTGGCATGTTCATGGCATGGGACCAGGCAGGGAGAGCTGGGCTTTCCGAGGGGAAAAAGGGAATTTCAGCTCACTGCTGGGGAATGATGAAGCAGGATTGCAGGAGCTGGAGTGGCTGCAGTGATCCTGGGACTCAGCACTGCCTGTCCCCTGTGCCAGTGGTGCAGTGGCTCCCGAGCTGAGCATCATTCCCTTCCATCTGTGGTCTGGTGAGGAGCTGTCCCCTCCCCCAGGCTGTCTGGGCTGTGTGCCTTGGGACTCCTCGGGCTGTGATGATTTTAATATGCAGCTCGCAGAGTCAGGGAGGTTGTCTGCAGCCTGGGAGATTACTCTGCCAGCGTTTATGCTTTCATACATTTTATTTTGGGGGACTGAACAGAAAACATTTAACAGTGTGTGGTTGGGTAAAGCATTGTGGGGTCACAAATGTTGGCATACTTCCTTCAGGTTATCTGTTATCCCACAGGCAGAGCTGTACATTTTACCTGGAGGAGCATGGAAAGGGAGTTTAAAGGAAAAAAGAATGGATGAAAATACCTGAGATCACATCCTCTGCTCTGGCATTTCTGTTGGGATGACAGGAGTTGCAGCATACCTGTTTTCAAAGCTGGGTTATTCTCATTTCCAAATCAGCCTTGTAGATTATTGCATATTTTTAAATTGATTCTTTACTCACCCTGCCCAAATGGGCTGTTAGAATGTTCTCTGTCTGTGCTCCTTTGTGTGTGTAACCTCCATTCTGCTCACAGAGAAATGAAGTTTGTGTGTATTGATAATGTGCTCCTTCTGGCTGTGGTAGATCTTTAGTGGCAGTTCCATAGCAAAAAAGGGAAAATTAAACTTTTTAGAGAATCTCATCAGGATTTTAAGTAGAATTCTGACAGCATGTAACACAATCAGTCTTTTTTAAAAAGAAAAGTCTTGAGTTTTTCTGGTTTGTGTCATATTATTGTAGGAACCAGCAGAGGCTTTTTCCATAAG